AAATTACCAACAGCACTAACGCGTAATTGCGATATACAGCAAATGCTGTATCAAAACGAATCGATCCGTAACCACGAAACCGTAACATTCCCTGGCTCACAATTTTTCCACCATCCTCTGCACACTCGTTTCACGTTTCCTCTGTAGCAGCTATCGAACAGGGGCATTAATATTTGTCAATTATCCCGGTACCCTCGAATACACGCGATTCATCCAGAAGGTACGCGCTGATCTATTTGGAGTGTGCGACACAGAAAGCAATTATAATTCCCCGTTCGTATCGTCCGCGTTATAATTGGGGCTCCGATAATGGAGGGCCAAAGAAGATTAAGAACAAACCGTTCGCGTGGGCCATTTCGCCGAACAAAGAAAGCCTAACGTGGAAGTTGGCGGAAGAAGTAAGAAGAAAAGAGAAAAAGATAGAAAAAGAAATGTGAGAAGAGAAAGAGGATTCGTATTCGAGGGAAAAGGAAGGAAAGAGACGAGAGAAAGAATAGGTTGAGGGGGAAGGAGGAGGAGGGGGGGCAAGGAGGGACCCGTAGGTATAGTCTCGATGACTTATGTGGCACTGACGCTATCAGCAAAACGTCTCTAGAGTCCAGCCCGAGCCCTGGAACGGCGCTTCTCGTAAATCATCGAGATCCACCCACACACTGGTATCGTCTCACTCGCCACGGAGCTGGAGCTTCAGCTTCGAGATGCGATATGACAATTAACGAGGTCAAAAGGGAGGACGAAGTTTGCTCACGAGCAACGAGGCGAGCCGCGCTCCCTTATCAATCCTTTCCACGGCAGTTCGAATTTATTAGCAACCGGTGAGAAGTTTCTTCGTAAGTTTTACGATGATCGGTATCCTTTGTCGATTCTGCGAATTAAGGTCGGGGATGGCCGAGATAGTCAGGACGATCGCTGCATGCAGAGCACACGGAACGACCGAGTAGGCAAATGACGGTCGATTAAATTATCGCAATACATTTTACGCCTAATTGTCCAAGCTCCGATGCAAATATGTTTCCTCCATTGGTACTCGATTCCTATCAAGTCCATCATCTTCCAAACTTAAGCTGAACCGGCATAAAGCACCGTGCCACGCAAAAGATCTGACGCAGCGAATGGCATGATTCTAAGAAGTCAGTTGGAAACGTATCTCCGTCCCAGAAAGGGGACATCGCACTGCAGCTATGCGACCAGACGGAAACAAACTGTCGACTATGCGACGCGAAAGAAAAGGACGAGGAAGGAAGGAGAAGAAGCGTGGTCCTTTGATTGTCATCCGGTGGCAGGGTGCACCCGTGGAGATACAAATGACAAAGATACTACTGTGGCCGGGCTACCGCGTTCGCGGTTATCAGGCGGTGTGATCGTCGGGCTACTAGAGACTTCTTTTTTCGGCCGACAGTTGGCTGACTCCTACGCGAAAAAAACGCGGAGGCGGCGTAACATTTTTATTAGGGCAATTCACCGGGAACCTACGAGTGCTCGTTGACGACGCGATCCTTCTAACTTCCGACCTTATCCGACCAAGCTGCGCCCTGTTGGCTCTTTCGGCTGTCACCGAGATGATTCCGTTTTGTTTTCAGGAATTCAGCGAGTAGACGAAACAAGTTTAATCGAATGAGCTTGTCGCGTGAATTCCAACGGAACAAGTATTGTCAGCCGAGGGAAGGACAAGAGTAGCAAGGCATGATATCCGATGCAACCGTGTTTAGAGGACGCGTAAGTGCAACTCGTTGGCTCTGGGAAGCGTTGTAGCGTTGCGTACACACCGAGATGTCCTCAGGATAAACAGGCAGGCTTTGTTCTACGCTTATGAATAAAACATTCGATAGTGCATCTCCCAGAGCCATACCGTACGACGCGACGTCGTACGTACACACGCCGCTGCAATCCATTACTTTTACTCGAGTCCTAGCCCTTTTCCATCATCTTCTGTGACATTCCTCTTACCTTCCCACTCGCATCCGTTTTTATTGCCCTCGTCCCGCTATCGTTCGCCTTATTTTCCAATTTAATTGTTCCCAGAGCCAGTTTCTTCTTTGCGGTTAATTATCTTACCGCGTTACAGTGTATTTGTGGGATTGTGGAAATTTAGAATCTCTTACTGCTTTTCTTTCCTTTTTTTTTCTTTAAACTATCGCTCATAATTGTTCTAAGGATCTCGAACGACGATCGACATTTAATCTAGTAAGTATTCATTTTTTCTTTTCGATATGCACCGTAGAAAGGAACAACGACTATCGAACGAATCACTCCAGTAACCGTAAGAATTTGCACGAAGCACGATTGGCGGAGGCGAAACACGCGCGGAGGCCAGAAAGCTTTTAACGCCGTGCTCTTTCAGAAGCAACGACTATCGTTGGAAAAAAGCAAGAACAAGACAACAAGTTTCGCAACAGAGAGGTAGACTCGAGCAACATCGTTGCTCCTCGAAGCTGGAAGAAAGCGTAGGAGGAGAGTGGAGAGTGTCTCAATGTCTCCCAGGCGGCTGAGCCCGGCAATTTGTGCCTTCATTCGCACAAAGCCCGAACGCCATGGAAAATGCCGGCATAAAAGAGAAGTTAAAACTATGCCGTCGTTCTTATTACCGCCTGGAGCCACCCTGACCTAGCCTCCCTCGTTTCCTCTTCCTCCCGAAGGCTAAAAGAAGCTTCCTCCTTCCACTTCCATCTTCGCCGGTTCGACGCTTCTTCCCTTTTAACCGTCGTTACCTCTCGCTCCAGTTAATGGCGCGAGTATTTTCTTTCCGTTTACTTCGGGCTTGATTAAATAATTTATAAGCCGCCACGGTGGAATGTCGCGTTATGGAGGGGCGGATGCTTCTTTCGCTTAGCCTTTGCTCTGGATTTCCTCTGTGAAACGAAGCGAGGTGGATTGGGCTGCACCGCCGCGACACGACGTATTTCGAAAGAGAAATGGCAGTAACGATTTTTGTCACCAGTTTAGTAATCGGATTAATTATTTTTTAAAGAAGATTCGTAACCGTGTCAATAATAAATACAAGATTTTTATAAATAAGCAAGCAAGCAAATAGATATTATTCGAAATCTGAATGGCGAATGCTGGAAATCGAAACGCGACGATAACAATGCGAAAAATCTTTAAGCGTTGTTCGATATCGACGTGAATTTCGGACAGGCGAGTTGTAATACGGGTAACTTCTGGTGTACAGGTTTAACGTAGCCGACAGGGTATCGGGTATTGCAAGCCGGGAGCAGGGAGTGGATTACACGTGGAAAATTATTCTGGAGAGCGGCGTGTTTCAAACAATGCCCAGTTTCTCGGTACACGATCCAGCGATAGTTGCTGTAACGCCGAAAATCGTAGATCCAGTAACGTAAATAATCGTTAGTTAAACAATAGCCTACTATTGTTGCTTGTTCCAACATTGTTACCATTTTGTTGAAATTACAGGCTGCTTTTTATAGACCATATTTTGCGGCGCAAGTGTCGAGTTTTCAAATGTTTGCCTTGGAAGAACATATTTCATGAAATAACAGGGGTTGTTGCGCGATAAGACTGGTAATCAGCTTTTCATTGCTTTCAGGGATCCTGTGCCAAGTAATCGGCTTTCCTCGTTTACAAAGGTGAATTCAACGGACAGGGTGCAAGACATTTTATGAACCCTCGACTATTTTTACTTTATTGCTTTATCACACCAGAAATAAAAAAAATATAGATCGCGTTTTTCATCTTTCCTTTTAAAATTCAAACCACTTTCTATCTCGTACATTTTCAAAATATTAAATCGATACGCGAAATATCAAGGACTATCGTCATCTGCTATCCTTAACACATACGTTAAACACAGGAAGGATTGTCAAACCTGATGACAATACGAGACACGTACGATCCATGTAGCTCGAAAATAACGAAAAATCGATCCAAGATAATACATCGATAATAATCTACTCGAAAAGCGTCTCTAATCGAATCAAATCTCCGACTAATAATAGTACGATTCCTGAAAACTTCGACGATCTTTTACACATATCCGCCATTCCAGTTCATCCAGATCATGGATTTTCGAAATAACTGGAAACGAGCCTGTCGACGATAAAACGAAACAGAGAAGCAGAGTAAAATGAGGAGGAGTCAAAGCGACCACGGAAGCCCGAAGTTATTCGAAGGGAGCATTCTTACGGCTGACGCGACTCGAATATGTCGAATATCTAGCGGCGGCGCGCAAAGAAAAATTAAGGGGGTCGCCGAGAACCAGCCACTTTGATTAAAGTATGTCGCGTGGTTTTACGGGTTTCTGTTTGCTAGCGGCCCAGTTCGTTCCTTGCTCGCTTCAACGCACAGCGGGGGATGAAACTTTTCGTTCGGCCTGGAATTTTGGAATTGCAAGCGCGAATGACAAGCGGCGAACCGCGAGGGTTGCTGCGGTCGAGGCTGACCTACCTTTTGATGTTCGTCTCTTCGAACAAATCTTCGTTTATTACGAAACCGAAATCTCTTCGTGGAAGACACGAGAGAAAAGAGAAAAAGTATTTTGCCCATGCGAGGCCCATGCGTTGTAACTCAATTTAATTGTGTTTAAGCTTTCCATAAATTCCTAGCTATCGAAATATTCTAAATTTCAATTAATTACGCAGCTATATCTTTAGAACTATGAAAGTAAGAATTGTGTTTTTATTCTGTAGCGTCCTTAGATTTCCTGTTCTTGTTTAGGAAAATGTGATCGGGCATTAAATCAACGTTGACATCACGAGACACGTGGGAGTTTTTTTTATAGGCGGCCGCGACAAAGGCTAACGCAACAGAGGCTAATAATTAAAGTTTCCTCGTTATTTTCCGCCGCGAATGCGGAGCAGAAAAGCCAGTGAAACTTTCCTTACGCAACGATACGTCGAGTCATTGTTCGTGAGTCGCAGCGAAGCAGCAGTGACGCGTTCGTTGGCGAAGTATCGGCTACAATTCGTGTGAATTCGAAGGTAAAATGACGAAGAATGGCAAAAGAAAGTGAATATCTTGCACGTGATGTGAATTTATATTCGCTAGGTATTCGTACTGTAATCGTGTCGTTAATTATCGTTGACTCTCTGCACTGCTGCTGACTGTATCGTTGACTCTGCATTCAAAATATTTAGTAATACAGGGTGGTTGGCAACTGGTGATACAAGCGGAAAGGGGGTGATTCTACGCGAAAAAAGAAGTCGAAAATATAGAATAAAAATTTTTCGCTTGAGGCTTTGTTTTCGAGAAAATCGACTTTAAATTCTCGCTCGGTACGCGTGCACTTTATCGCGTCTCGTTATAACGGATCTCACTGTAGATCGTTGTCTCGATGGAAAAATTAAAAAAAAATTTTTATTCTACATTTTCGACTTCTTTTTCCGCTTGTACCACCAGTTATCAACCACCCTGTATAGTAATATACCTACAGTACCTATTATATTATAACAGTATAGGGCAATAAGAACATAGCGAAACTTTTTACATTCTCTAGTTTCTCTTTAACTTTTACGCAGAAAGTAATATGACGAGAAAATCGACTTTAGAATAAAAATTTTTCGCTTGAGGCTTTGTTTTCGAGAAAATCGACTTTAAATTCTCGCTCGGTACGCGTGCACTTTATCGCGTCTCGTTATAACGGATCTCACTGTAGATCGTTGTCTCGATGGAAAAATTAAAAAAAAATTTTTATTCTACATTTTCGACTTCTTTTTCCGCTTGTACCACCAGTTATCAACCACCCTGTATAGTAATATACCTACAGTACCTATTATATTATAACAGTATAGGGCAATAAGAACATAGCGAAACTTTTTACATTCTCTAGTTTCTCTTTAACTTTTACGCAGAAAGTAATATGAAATATAATTGTTAAGGTTTGGAGAGAATAAAAAGTTAAGCTTTATTTTCATATTAACTAAGTTTAGCTCTACACGTGGGTTACTCTCTGAAGGGCCAGAAGACACTCACTCGCTTGCTTTTTTCCTTCTAGTCGCTCTTTTGTCTCAGTGGAGACCTGGGTCGTCTCACATACGCTTTAGCAAGGGGATGCACGCATGCGTCTGCTCGCTCTTCGCTCCCTCACTCTCACACGTACAATAAAAATGTATTATCTATTTAACAATAACACGTAAGTTTGAAATATTAAGCAAGAAATGTATAGACATCGGCAAACTCGACTGATTCGTATAGAATATTCAATCCGCCGATAGCAAAGGTGTCCAAGCGTACACGCACCTTCATAACGGATTGCTTTCATTATCTGCATTCCCTCGACTCGCCTAAAGGTCGAATCGCATCGATCAAACACGGTTCACAATGTGACTGCGACACGTGACAAAGTACTGACAAAGAATGATCGCGCGAGGAGCCACGTGTGTTCCATTGCTACAAACGCGCGTCACTTCTCAAGACTTTTGCTGCCACGTGTCGTGTTCCTGCACCCTGTCTAATAAACTTTTATCAATCGTTTCATCATTTCATTTATTACATTTCTTTCTATACGCTTTCTATACGCCTTTCTTAGTTGAAGATGAAAAAATTCCATCCAGACAGACAGAACAGTTAAAAGCTAAATAAAAGCATTTAAGAATAGAAGAATTCCTCTACGAATGGCTACTCCAACGATCGGAAAGCAATTCGCAGGAACGAATTTTAGGAAAGTCGACGTAGACAAGATGACTGGAAGGAAGGTCAAAGAGCGATGCGGTGTGTTCAGAGTTGAAAAATCGTGCTGCAGGGGATGAGGGTGGGCGCACGATTCCCGCAAATCCGAGAATAACGCACGGTAAATCCCGGCTTCAAACAAGCCGGTGTTTGCAGGTCGCCGAGCAGTCTGTGCCGGAGCTGCTTGAAAATGCTAGAAATGGGCCGTGTGTAAGGCAACGGTTGCGAGGCTCTATGAACCGCTCGGCAACATCAAATATGAAAGCTCGCAATTATATAAAGCTAAGGGCGGTCTCTATCCACACCGGAAATGCAAACCGCGTTTTACACGCCTCTGTATTCTGTGCTCTTCTCCTTCCCTCCCTCGTCCTTCCGGTTGCCTGCCGCTACTTCAAATCGATTTCCAAGCGCAAGCTTTCGTTTTCATTGCTAGGCGAAAGACTTCGAAACTTTTATAATAAGAAACGTACGCACAGGCTACTGCGTCTGATAAATTTTGACTCAACAAATAAATTAAATATCGATTACTTATGTCAAAATGGCAAGGAAAACGGTTTGAATTACCACTTTCTGCGCTGTTCAAATAAAAGAATACTAGGCGAGGCCAAGTCGAAGAGTGCGAGTTGGAGTCGGAACCAGGAACTGGATTAAGAAGGCCGAAGATCCACAACAACGGCTACGTTCTTCGTGGTCGTCGTTCGAGGGGAGAAAAGTAAACGCGAGCGTGTCGCCGCTGCGTTTCCAAGCAGCCAGCGTAGATATGTATCCGTGGTGGTTTATGCGCATGCCACGGTGTGTATGAGTGCGCGGCCGTTGTTATATTCAAATTTAGTCACTTGGCTAGTCGGTGATCGTGCGTCGGCGAATATTCCAATAACCCTGGCACCGGCTATATTGCAATTCTATTACCGCGGAATTTCACGACTGGCATAAGTAGCCGCTGCCCGAGAATCTCTTCTATTGGACCCTATTCCCCTTTCGCATGGACAAATTGTTTAGGATTATCGCGAGATGACTTTACGTTCTGCGAAAAGCTTTCGCTCTATCTGCTCTTGTATCTCCCGCTTTTCGCACCCTTTCTTGAATGCTGATCGTATTGCACGTGCAATCTTGTTTTCAAGTAGTAACAGTCGAGATTTGCGAGGACATTTGCGTTTTGTTGTAAGCTGTTGAACCTTCCGATGTACGCATATTGTCTTTCGTCGCTTCCCTTTTATTCGTATTATCCAATACGAATAATATATTAAAATATTGTCCGTAAAATTATATCAAAATATCCTTCGGATAGAAACGAAATATCACTTGCCAGCTAGCAGGTTAATCTACGATCTGTCGTTTTGACAGTGATAGATTTTTCTATAAGAGACTAGCATAAAGACGATCTTAGTCTTTTCTATCTGACTAGTTCTTTAATTACTACGTCGAACACCATCGATTCTCGTTTCATCCATACGAAGTATGTCTGATAAACACAAAGCTATATAGTATCGAGTCTCTGATCAATAGCATCTCTTCGTAACAGGCTGGAAAGAGAAGGGTGGGAAGCAAGAATAAAGACTCATCGGTCATCCGAAGAATCAGGTTCTCCTCGATAGCTTGTTATTCTTCGACGAAGAACAATGCAAATTGGCATAGTAATTCGGATCGGAGTTTGTTGGTCGCGCTTCATCGAGCCCATTATTAATACGGCCAATATTTACCGACCGGCTCGAAGGATCTTCGACGCCAGAGATGTTTCTCCTCGTCTTCTGTTTTTCCTAGATATAGCAGCGTCTTCTCTGTTTCGACGGAGGATTCCGTGGCCCGCGGGCGCAATATGACATTTAATTAAGAAACTTGGGCGAGCTCTCCGAGTGATATTTGAGGTAATTAAAAATGTATCCGTCGCGGTTCTTTGAGACAAGCCATTTTCATTGCTGCACAAAGGAGCCTCCCGGGGCTAATCTCTCCGATCCCCACCCTATCGTTTCTCTCTGTGCTCTTTTCTCGTCCACCCACACGCCATGCCGTTCGTTCGTTCGTTCGTGCCTCGCACGAAATTGCCCGGGAGGTGACCGACGATGGACCAGAGACAGAAACACGCTGGAGCGAACCGACTGAGAGAGAAAGAGAGAGAGATAAGTAACGTGAAAAAGAGGGAAAGTGATAGAGGAACGCGGAACGAGGAACCGAGCCAGAGGTTACGTTAGAGAAGGATCGCCAGAGATAGAGCGCAAGGTGCTGGTGCGAGTTAGAGGCGAATGGAGGATCGAGCCAGATCTATATAGGAGGCTAAAACGATGTAACGCCGAAGTGTTCGCTTAAATCCGTGAAAATAAACGGAAACATGTCATTTCTTAATTATTCCCACTATTTATATTTGAAGAACTACATCTTTTTTAAATAATATCGAGTATTCAGTATCGTACAGATTAAAAGTTAAACGTATTCATGGCCGCGATTTCTAACCTGAAAGTCAACTTTCAACAGGACGCTGACGCGAATTTTCGAATGAAGTCGACTGGCACGCAGGTGTGTGCGAAAGCATTCAACAACCGCGGGATCGTTTAATTTTGCAGAAGCTGGAATCTGGCTGTTCACTGGCAAAGGGCGGCATCCCTTCGACCTCCGCTTCTCCTCTTTCTTTCGCAGACTGTTCATAATCCGTGCAAACAAAGCGCGCCGGTACAAAAGACAATACCAAAAAGCAGCACGAGAGACGACAGCTTTAAACGAGATTATTAAACGATCAACAGAGCTTCCGCTGCGCGTTTGTAACCCGTTTTCCCATTCTACCTTCGAAACTCCCTTTTCCAATCCTCTCGTTCCTTCATACAGGTTCTATATGTACATCATCGTGTCTCTTCTCTCTCCTTCCTCTTTGTACAAATACGTAATTCAAGATACGAAACATTCGATAGTAGATATACATAGGTAAATGCAAATACGAACGTTGCAGGAGGAAAATATGGAAAGTACAATTACGCTCGTTGATCTTTTAATCTTTATACGCTTTAATGTGATTTATTATGTCTCTGCCTTCCGCTCTTCATATAGATATAAATGTAGATATAGAAACACAGTAGATACGAGCCGCTATGAATCAGACGGAACAGCACATAGCTGGTCATCCAACGAAGTAAAACCCAGACGAACTTGCAGCAAGAATCGCAGCCTCGACTCTCTCACCCATCAATCAGCGTTTCCTTCCAACCAACCCACCTCTCTCTTCATTCCTCCCTACAGATTTAATTAATCGCTTAATTATTCCCAGCACAGTAAATTATTCCGACGACGAGACACAGGACACGGGACCCAGACGCTGCATAATACACACATACGGTACACATAGATGCTATATAGGTACTCGACGGCGGGAAATATCCAGGGCAGGGACAGAGACGCGCGTGTCGCGACGCGACGGCCGATGGTAGATACGGGAAAGATGAGCGCGCCGCTTCCGTGGAACCGAGGACGGCCGTATTACGCGCGTTGCACACCGCCACGCCACCTCTCATCTGCATAACACCGGCGGACGCAGCCTCGACATGAATATTTACCGGTCATTTATAAGTGCTGCCACGCCGTTTATCGCGATTCGTCGCAATGTCCCCCTCCGATCGCGGACGAGGCGGACCGCGATCGTTTCATGGATCTCGCGCGTCCCAGACTGTGTACCGGAAGCGCAGTGCACCCCGCTAGAGAGCCGCTCGCGTAACTTACGAACGACGATCGCTGTTGTGCCCCGCCACAGTTTACGCTGCATGGAATCGTATTTTATTGCAGGCCGATTTGTTAACTTGGAATCGTCGCCTCTGCAGACGTTTGCGAACTTTGGTTTTGGTTCTTTTGCCTTTCTTCAGTTGCAACGTTTTATTGGTTTTAATTTAATCTCCGAGCTTCCTAGATCCCTCGGTTTTCGTAGATATCTTGCGATCTTTCGGAGGCTTTAAATTTTAAGATCTCGTGCAATTGGTACCTCTTAGTGTTTCGGGTTATCCCCGTGCTTTTCGAGTCACTTAGTCTTTTGATTTTCTAGAAGTTTGTTCGATCTCCTGGATTTCTTAGATATTGTCAATATTCTAAGTTTCTTGGATAACTCGATTGTGGGCTACTTTATGCACCGATTCATATATCGTCGTGGAAAATGTTTGAAAGTAGGGCAATTTTGTTACAGGTGAAGATAAATCGCTGAATAATAGAGAGGGAACAAATGACTCGTGCGTAATTAACGATGCATACGCGTGTTAATATAAACTCGATGAACCGCTAAATCGCGAATACCAGATTACGCGTTTATTAATTATTGACTTAACAAGCGCTTTTCCCTTCTGTTAAATGTTACGTCGAGGTGTTGACTCGCTGATAATCGAAACTTGAACGTATCGCATAATGGCGAATAAAAATGCTCGCGTCGATGTTGAAGAAATAAATAATTATGTCCAACAAAATTAATTTAACAATTTACTTGAACGAACAATGTCCTCTTAAAAAAAAAGCCATGAAACATAATTTGCCAGACTCAATCAACTATACAACATAAATATTACAAAACCATCCCAACAAAAAAAAAAAAAAAAAGGAAAGGGAAAAATAAAAGAACGATTAGAAAATCCAAAATCCCAAACCAATTGCATTCTCACCTTTCTCCATCGAATATTCGAAAAACCCGACATTCCCTGGAAACATAACCTGAACACGATGCACGAAGTTCGACGTATCGGCATAAATGGCATCGATAGAAAAAAAGGTCTCGCGCGGCACCAACAACCGCAGGAGTTTTCATCCGGCTGGCGGTGGCTAATTTAATAAAACCGTGGACTCGCCTGCGAGGACCTGTGGAAAGAGAAGGAGAGCCGAACGAGGATGGAACATAGAAGGAGAAATCAAAAGAGGCGGAGAATCCGGGTAACCAGGGGTGGCAACACGGGGGAGAGAGAATTTTTCATATGCTTACTTGCACAGAAATAATGAGCTTGTCCATAAATAAAGAATAGAAGCCGCCTCGCGGCGAATGGGTAATGAAGTCTCTCGTGGATAATTGTTATCGTTGGAAAAGCGTTGCCAGCGTTGCGTTTTCCGCGATGAGGCCAAACGAAACAACTCTCTCCCTTCTTCTCCCCTCTCTTCTCGTCGTCTCTTTGCTTCGCCAAGCTTTCGTAGCGTGTTCGCGTTTCCGAGCGACTGGTATGTAACGAGGGAACTAACCAACACGTTGCCACGAGGCCGCTTTAAACGCGATCGACGATCGATATTCGCGAAAGAATTCTGCGAGTGCAGACCGATTCACGGCCCTCGTTGCGTAACTATTTTCATTTATCGCTAGATAGGGCTCGATTGGATAGTTCGATGGTCTCGAATTCCGTTATAGGAATTTCTACCGATACGCTTGATTATAGAACCAGATTTTGGAATAAGAATTTTTCGCCGTAGGATGTAAACTCACTTCATATACGACACGATATATATCGCGCGTCTATGGGAAGCTGGCTGGACGAAGGACTGCGAGTTTGATTGGTTATTTTTGGTCGACTTTATAGAGTCGTGATAATCACGCGTATTGGAAAGTCTCATATCTGCCTACGAATAAGATTCTGTAGCAACGCGTAACGAACCTGGTGAACTATAGAGGAGACTTTTGCCCTCGCGTCGTTCTGCTAGCCATCTCGTTACCTCTGCACAATACATTGAAAATAAATTCATATATTTTGTTCGGCTTAAACGTATATCGCGTGGATCGCCATCGAAAGCTTTAATCTTCGCTGCGTGCTATATCGATGTCGGTCCGGTCTCTCGAGGAGGACGAGTTGAGCGTGCAAAGGGTGAAAAGAGTGCCGCCGCTGATCCACGCAGAGAACCAGATCGTATCGGGCTAGCTGTCTCTGCTCGGTGTGCTTACTCTGCGCTTACCACTCCGTCTAGCTCCGAGGTATTTGATATTGACTTGCTCGAGCCTCGACTCTGAACTCCCGGGCCGTTGTAGGGAGGAAGAGGAGGAGGAGGTGGAGGAGAGAGAGGATGGAAGTCACCCCCTCCAGCCTTGGAGCGTTTAATTAAAAAGCTCTCTCTCTCTGTGGAGAAGGCTGGTTCCGTAGACTTGTAGCCGCGATATGTGCGGCCGATAGTCGACATCACACATGGGTGATACCGGAAGCTCCGCTACCGAGCTAAGTACACACTGGCCAGCCTTCACAAAGGAAATGGAATCCTTCGCTTTCCGGATGAAATTAACTCGAAACTTTCGACCAACCAACCGGTCCGCTCTGATTATTTTAACCTGGTTCACGGGAATTCAAGGATCACTATGTATACGTATATTGGTATATGTATCGAAATGAAGAAACTATAAAGGTAGGTACAAGGATCTGTGTGATCGCAGATGGTGAAATTTTCCTTGGTAAAAGGTTAGACCAACCGTGGTTTTATATAGAGCGTTTGAGTCGGTACATCGGATTAATCACCAATATCATCTGCCATCTAGTCGAGTGGAAACTATTGATGTAATTAACGAAAAATCCAATCTCAATAATACAGTAATTTTGAAATAAAGGATTTATAGTTGAAAGCGTCGAACGAAAGCTTGGCTAAGTTTTAGCGAACGTTTATCACGGGATTCTTAATGTGGTCGGCTATCTGCGTACGCTTCTTTTCCTGATCGGATTTAATTGCCAATCGACGCACCACGATTAACAGGAATAACGGCATCGCGGAAATTGCTCCTTCTACCCGTGTATGTCGCGTGCAATCGAGGATGAGAACCTGTGAGAGCCAGCGTGTCTCCTGATAATCGTGATTCACGTACACACTCGCCAACTATGCGAGCGTAATGTCGCCTCGGTTGCACGCGAATCTCACCTTAACGATTTCCCCGCGGAAAATCATTTCACCACGCGTGAAGAAATGCCGTCTCGGAATCTGCTGCCAGTTTCCAATCATGCTTGGCGAACGCGCGGATTTAATCCATTCTGTTATCCGTGCATCACACTTACACGCTCTAACTATTTGGAACTGCAACATATATTGGAACGTGTAGATTTCAGCGTCCGATAGCTCGATCAAACGTTTATCGCGTTTGCCGATACGAAAATATTAAAAAAAAATCCGTAATGTTTCGTAGTCAACGAGAAAAAAAAACGAAAATATTGAGATATGTATAATTTTGTGTGCTAGACTAGATTAGGCGCGTAGTAGTGACGTTTCGTAGTCAACGAGAAAGAAAAAACGAAAATATTGAGATATGTATAATTTTGTGTGCTAGATTAGATTAGGCGCGTAGTAGTGACACACGTACGTGAATATGAGTGTGTGGAAGCATGCGTGTACGCGGTGTCTCGAAAAACAGATGAATGTAACTGTTTCGTTGGCAGTGTAGCATGGAAGATGGAGAGACAAAGAGAGTGATGAGACGCGTGCAAATGTGTATCGACGGAGATCCTGGGAATCGTTTATTAAATAAATCTAAAACTATTTTAATATGAATTCTAAGTGTATGCTTAGTATTCCTTTACTTTTATTTCGGCGATTACGATCCACCATTCTCAATAGAAAAAGAGACGAATGTCTTGCTTAAACGTGGAAATGGCGAAGAATTTCTGAGATCATTAAAATTTAGGACATGTAAATTTGTGAGGTAAGGAGGGAAGAAAATCGTGGATGGCGTCGCGTGCGCAGTCGCGTTAACCCGCGTCTCTTAGCGTGTTCGTGAAGCTAAATGATACACGATGGCGAAACGACGCGAAACAACGCGAGGCTTTCCATCTGTTTCGCCTGTTCCCGCGGCGTACGCGCTCTCCGCCGAGAGAGTACGACGAACCTGGTGTAACTGATGAAATTTAGGAATGAATTATTCATTTAATCGCTCCACGGACAATTTACCTCGCGAACGCTCGCGTCCGCCGTCCGGGCGAGAATCGGTTTGAGAAACGCGGCGAGTTTCTTCGTTCAACCGTCGTGAAACTGTGCCCGCGACGAGTTTTTCCTTTTTATCGTCGCTTCGTATCTCGGTTTTGACAATTTGAATATTGACGTATTTAGATTTAATTATACGTGGGTTATATTGTATTCGAAATTTGGAAGAATTTTATTCGCTTCTAATGAATTGCTAATGAATAACAAATTGAATATATTTGTATAATTTTCTGTATTAGAATCAGTGTTTTAAAATTAAAATTCTTAGGGTAAAAACGAGGGAATTGTTGCTCCTGACAAATTGCTTATTCTTGCTCGTATGTATGTTATACTTCCGTATCGCGATGAATGTAAGGAATGTGGTAATTCTTTCTGCGTTCTTTCCTGCAAGATTTACCAGGAACAAATTTTGTTACGCAATCGTAAAATCTTAACTGCGTAACTGTATGTTAAACCTTGTATATTTAGATAGCCGATAAAGACATTACATCAATAAAAATTATAATTTCCTCGACTCTCAACTTTTCCATCTGATTAATTAATCTTTCAAGAGCTATTTGTGCATCTAGTCTTCTATTAAATTATACAAGCAATTGTATTCTTTAAATTACCAAGAATTTGTTCAAGAAGCGTACGTCAAATACCCGGGGCAATTAAGTTCGCAGAAGTAAATGATACGGTGTAATGATTCGACTGAAATCACGTTTCAATTATCTCTGATTAGAGAAACCGGCGTAAATCTACGTAGGACGCGGAAGAAAGAAGAGAAAGAAAAAAAGAACACGTGCGGGCACGTGTACGCAACGCGTGCATGTGCAACGAGGATCGCAGACGACCAGAACGGCCGGGTCACGCGATGGGAGAAACGTTTTTTCCGTAAATGGGAACCAGACCGACGTGTTACTGCCACTCTAAGGCTCCTGTTCTAATCAGACCGTGGTTTTATTGCAACTTTGCAGAGTATTTCGAACTTCACGAGCCGTTTGCGCCGTGATGCTAAGGTAAACTTTGGAAAAACACTGTTGTAACTCGTTTCTCTTGCGAATTTGTGACGGATCCGCGGTCGTGATCCTCCTTTAATTACTAATTGCACGTATCACGGCATCGTGGTTATGTAGCGGCTTTGAAAAATCACATGGTCATCTATCGCGTGGCAATGTAGCTCCTGAAGTAACCAGGTGTCTCATGGAATTTGATTCGAAGAGTAAACTGAGCGATATTGTACGGTGGAAGCAGCATATAGGATATTTTTGATTTTTTCCCACAAATTGTAAAAGTACAATCTAGAAAGAAAAGTCGTTGCTTTTTTCTTAAGAGAATCGGTTGTCGATAGCAACATCCAACGGAGACTCTTTGTACATCCGGAATCGGGGGCCACATCTCTGGGAAACGGAAATCCGAGACCGAGAGAGGAGGCAGGCAAGAAAATAAATCGCAATGATCTCCGTACCGTGGCGGCCTCTATGCTTGTAATTGGCTCCGTGAGAGAGCGCGTCCGCGGCGATGATTGTCGCCAACCCGTCGATATACATCGCATGAAAGACACGGATGAGCACGCGCGCAAACTGCACTCGCTGCTACTAAAAGGACCCCAAGCGAGAAACAGAGAGGGCAGGTTTGAAAACGTGCGCCGGTCGAGGCGAAGATATCGCTGACAAGCGACCACCGGGAACCCTCGCGTGCAACTACGTTTCTTGATTCTGCTTCTGCACCCTTGCTACGCTCGGTTTCCATCTTCAAAAGGACCATCGAGAACCGATACCTTCTTCTTCTTTCCCGGTACACGCGCTCTTTGGCACGAATCCAAGTCGTCACCGCTAATTTGGTGCCGATACGGACACTCCATGCCTTCTTAGTCCAGGATTCGTGGAAACGTGGCGTAACGACATAAAGTTCTTGTTACTGTCGTTGATTTTCTCATCGATTACAGATCGAACAATTACTCTTTCGAATAAATCGAAGCATCGACCAGGCCATCGATAAACGAATATTAATCGAATCGTACTTCTCAACGTTCTAATTTGAGGCCTGCCAAGTGCTCCAAATAAAATCTAACTTCATCGAAGCTCAGATCGCATTTTCGAACAAGCCTGTCTCTTGCGACACGTCTCACTCGCTTTCCCTTTTACCGCAGGTCTCGCGAAAATCTCACGAGGAAAGCCGACAGGGGAAGAGGAAAAAGGTAACGCAGCGAGTTGCACGTGCGAGTAGGAGCACCGTGAACACGGTGAAATTTCAATCGAGGCGAGCGGTTACACGGCTACGGGACGGCATGAGACACCTTTTTTCACCTCGTCAGCATCGGTGCCATGTACGTAGCGGATGTCGGCGTCGACTTGGGCCAGCGGTACGGGCTGCGGTGTCGCCAAGACGCATTGCGCGTCGCGCTATCGGCAAAAAGGCCGGCTTTCCAATTGAATTTATTCGCCTAACGAGTGTAGATTCCGTCGCGCCGACTATGGCCGGGACAAATGGCGCGCATCGAGCCGCGCCGCGACGTGTAGCCGGAACCAGAGAATTCCGTTACGGAGTGGAAAGCCTAGGGAATTGCCAGTGACAACGTTACGAGCTGAGCAGGATCGAAAGGACTGAGGAGACCGATTCAATTTGCGTTCGTTCCTGTTCAGCTGGAATTGGACATCGGTCGCATCTGATTCCCCCTGGTCTGCGCTTGTGTTCATTGGGCTTTGGCATTGCCAGGCTCTGTGCTCTCGCGATTTCAGAACGATCGAACAATCGCCTTAAATTTATTCTTCCTTTCCGTATCGCCAGATATTCTTCGCAAACCTTTGGCAATTTACATCTGCATAGTACTTTTCCCTCGGATCGATTCGTGTCATCGCGATTTAATACTTTGATTGCCACCTTGGTCACATATTTCTTCTGTGACGTCACGGTGATCATTGATGACCGGAGCGCTTGAACTTCTTACAATTGTGAAAATTGTATGAAAATTGACAGTTAGGGCATTTTGAATATAACCGATAAATAGAATATACTTTGAGATAACAAGTGCCCCATTGAACGATTAAACATTTTTATTAGAACATCAATAAAAAAAAAAAAAATGAGAACAAATCTTGCATCTAACGGTGCACTGTGTTTGCATCCATATCTTTGAGGGGTAATCTACGCATATTATTATAAACACACCTTAGAAAATAATCGTAAATGCTGCTTTATAATCATATAACTAAAGTTAGAATGAGCAAATACTGTTTACTAATATCTTCTACAAGTTTCACTAATATATTCTGGACGTTTTGCATACGACAAAATTACGAACAAGCTGTTACCAAGACGCCAATAAGAAAAACGGTCCACTGGGGAAGAATGTTGTCTTACATGATCAATTTATTATTACTTTGCCATTATATATTTTGAATAATAAAAATACTCCCGTGGCGAAACATGTGATTTCAGCGTGGCAGTCAAAGTGTCATCATATAACACTCATAGATTATATCGTCAGAATTACACATTTGACTCTGCGCCAGTAAATGTCCCAGTATCTTCGTAACCCAGAGAGGACGTGGTCAAAAGTTTAGAAGAATCGGATCGAAAAACAGAGAAGAAGCGAGACCACGCTTGTCCGGCTGCGCGATCCCGCGATTCGCCGTATTCATTGCATCGTTTGCCCAGTCGCAGAGAAAGAGCTGCATTACGTATGGCGATTGCGTCAGGGTGATATCGTCATCGGACAGGACGAACACGACTTTAGCCTTCTCGGCCGGGGACACAAGCGAGGAGAGCAGAGGTGCGTGTCCCGACACGGCTTGCCC